GGGGAAAATAGTCTTAAGTTGACTCTACAACATTTAAATACATTTTTTTATCACACTGCTCGTTGCGTTTTATTTCATGCTTTTTCAGGTGTTTTTCAAAATTACATTACACTGCATTGTATTTTACTGCATAACATATTTTATCGCCATGCAATGAACTGTGTTTAAATGTTTTTCTCTTAACTCCATTGCATGCTTTGTGTGGTGGTTTGTGTTTGTATTGTTACCATCATTGATCAAAATGTAAAACGTGATCCAAAAATTCATTTTTGAACTTCCATTTTCAGACTGACCTTAAAGAAAAAGTAAAGGCTCTCCTTCAGGCTAAGCCACATGAAGGATGCCGTGAGCTGATTACTGCCCTTGCTTGTGAGCGAATGTTATGTAAATTTCTTCAAGACCCTAACAAAACGAAGGTACGTCTGAGCAGGAAACAGGTTGTAATTGGTGACAAAATAAGAATCTATGCCTTTCGTTTCCTTTTTTATTTCGGCTTTGAAGTGAAATAATGGTTAAAATTCCTCCAACGACGCACATCTTTAAGCACTGAAATTATTGAGCAATCAGGTTGAATACCATCAATTGACAACTCACAACTCACTTTGACTCAAGCAACTCATAATTTCCGCATTGGTGTCGAAACATCGCGATCAGTCACTTTCACTGACAGTCCTATTCTGGACTACACTCACCTGAACAATCATACAGTCAACCGATTCGCCACGTTAGAAACGGGAAGTAAACTGGGCCGTTTTAACTTTCGGAGAGGCTTCTGGGATCGTTACTGGGATGGGCCAATCTTTCCTTTCCCAAGTAACACTCCCAGAAATCTTTGCAAAAGTTAAGTCGGCCCAGCTTTCTTCTCTTTTCTAAAGATTTCTTTTAAATATTACGTAAAAGGAGATCGGTAATCAAGACTAATGAAACTAATCCCTGAGAGAAAATTTTCGAAGCCATTTATTCCCGTTGGGTGGCAACCTACGAGGCAACGAAAATGTCAAGGCCGCTATGTATGTTATATAACTACTTGATTTTGTCAACAGGAAACAATCAAAGCTACAGAAGACAGGGTCAAGCTTTTTCTCCTACACTCAGTTCTGCTTAAGAAATTGCCTTTGAAGTACAGAGTGCAAGAAGTAAACAACTTGGATCTGTTCTACAAAATAAATGACACTCAAGTAAATTTTTTTGACAAGGTTAGGGAATAGCAAAGGTTTGAGTGTTTTGGCCTCTTGACTTAAACTACATCCTTATCATAGTTAAAATCGTTTTTTAGATTTTCGGTGTGTCCAAAGACGGGCAAACTCTTGTTCATTTATTTATTTACTTATTTAGTTATTTAATTCATTTATTAATATCATGGTCAAAAATTAATCTTAAACTTTGGCTCGAAATTTCAGCGTTAATTTTATTGTACAAAATTGCTTTGGCAGCGTTCCCAAAGTCTATAAGTAGAAAAATGGCGTCAACGTTTTAAAATAGTTTAAAATGAAGAAGTCAGGGCTTTAAACTGAAGACGCAGTAGAAAACCTAAGCACACGAAATAGCGTAATTTTTTTAAAAGAAGGATTCTTACAGGTATTTAAATACCTGTAAGAATTCTTCGACAAATTTCTCGAAAATTTTAGAAAATTATGAACTAAGCCATAATATATTTAATATATTTATATCATATATTTATTTCAGTTTTGTAGTAACCTATGGACGTGTTTGAAGGTGATACAGGACGAATACCCGTCCATGACAACCAATTCACTAGACATGACTTCAGTTGCCGATCTGATGGACGGTCGACTTGTTCTTACTCTTTTTTCCTTGGCTTTGGAACAAAGATCAATGGGATTACAAGGTTAGTGTAGGGGTCATATTACGAGCAGTTTTTACCCTTATCACTGATCAGTTATCAGCGGGGCATTATTTTGTTTTGGCTTTTTGCCATTTAAGTGAGTGCGTTCTTCTTGTTTTGAGTGGTAAGGGAGAGGAAAAAGAGAAGTTGTTTATTAGAGGAAATAGGTAAGAAATGTGTTTACCCCAAATTTTGTTACAGAATGAAGTACTGTTCACATGATTCCCTGGAAATTTTTCGCAGGGTTTCAGAGTTCGGAGGGCTTTTCTGAATCTTTTAGGCGATTGCCGACTTAAAGCTGTCGAATTAAACCAACCGTAAATACAATAATAATATAAAACATTGTATAGGGCATACACAGCAGCTCTATGCGCTTTCCACTTTATTAAACTTATTCTTGAAAGCGATATTAAAAAAATATGTCTTAAGCTTTGACTTGATTGTCACTAGACCTAATATAATCAGGCAACTGATTCCGCAGCTCAGGGGCGGATATGCCGAAAGCCCTAGCACCCTAGGTTCATGTTATAATCAGCACGATCCAAGTGTAGAGTAGAAGATGATAGAAGCATACGCGCAGGACAAAAAGGAGTAAAGAGCTCTTTGATGTAGGAACCGTACCGTTCAAAACTTACACACTTTGCTGCTCCAAAACTTGGTTTTTTAATCCATTCATAATTGCCCTGACCCGTGTAAACGGGGTCTGAGTTTTTTAGGACAGGTGAAAGAAATTAGCTGTTTCATATCTCTCCGTTGAAAGTGACAGAAACAAAACAAAACTAATGGAACAGAGGCCACAAAAAAGGCTTGTCAATACATTTACGTTAGCTCAAATCATGTTGGTTGGCTGATGTTGAAAGGTCTAATTCATTTGTTTCAGCCTTTAGTTTGCCTGAGGGTATTTCCAAAATAGTAGAAGATGCATGGAGTAAACTATTTGTTGCCGTGAATTCTGATGCCCTTGGGGCTCAATTTTTCCCCATATTTTCTGAGAATGAGGAGAGCTTTCGTCCATCAGGTGAGAAAAAAAAGGATAGAATATGGCAAATAAACGAAACAGGTATCTAATGTATATTACATACACCTCGCATGGGTTTCCAGACACGTGACACGCAAAAATGCAGTTTCCTAGCTTGCGTTGTGCCATGACACTTTGGTATTATACCTTAAAATCCTTTTCTCTGGTGTAGTACCCTCTTAACTGGAAACCAATGCAAAATGTATGTTATTTAAAGCAAATAAAAACGAATAATTAGAAGAGATACGATAAGATATATTTACTTGAAGAAAACTAATTTTTGGTAGAGTTTCTTCAAAGTACGCCTTCTCGTAGTGATTATAATCATTATTGCTGTTTATATACCAGGAAGAAGTTCAGCGTTTGACTCCAAAATGAAGCTAAGACGTCTTCTTGAGGTTAAAAGTGTTCTTGTAGAGGAGTATGCAGGGGATGTTCGGACCAGAATTAACGACCTGGCTGAGTAAGTCGGTGGAATATCTAGGGACACGCGCTAACATCTTTTTTATTAATATTTATATCATCTTTTTAACAATGCCAAATTGATCAGTAAATTTAGTTGACATCTTATTTCAGCCGTGTCTTTTTCGCCAAAGCGGCAGGACAATTTACGTTTTTGAGCATAATAGCCTAAAAATCGTTAACCCAAACAAACACTCGCATTTTTGTTTTAAATTAAGATGGGAGCAGCGAAACTTTGACAAAAAAACGTTTTTCGGTTTATGGGTTATAACCTTTGTTGCTTTTAGCTGTTATGAGTAGGAGGTTTAAATGTCGTTTTCTTTTCAGATTTGAGTAAATCACAAAGAGCCACCTTAACTAGGAGCATCAGCGCCTCATTTTTTCTCAGTCAATATTATCTTTATAAAACTACTGGGATCTTATCACATTTATAGACATGATAGAAATGAGATGGTGAATTTTAAGCCTTGGGTCAATTTAATAAAACTTTTACATGTGTAATTTACTGTACAAGTGTAGCTATTGTTCTCAGACTCTAAAACGATGGCTACACTTGTAAATTACACGTGTAAAAGTTTTATTAAATTGACCCCTGGTGAATACATGAGGCAGAGTTTTCAGTCAGTGACACAGGCGGGTCGAAAGAGAAAACTGGTTACTCCTAATAGGAGTTGAACCTATGACCTTCTAGTTACTTGTCCAGATGCTCTACCACTGAGCTACAGGGGACTTGTGGGAACTAAGGCCAATAAACTAGGTTCATGTGGCATTCGTCCTACAAACTGCTGTAACTGCAATGTCATAGGTTCGATTCCTGTTGGGACTACTCAGATGTTTTCTTCCGAGCCGCCTGTGTCACTGTCTGAAAAAAAATCTTTCTCGTTTATTCACCATTCACCATCTCATCTTTATCGTTGCGCATAAGCACTTATTGACATTCTAATCCTAGCAGTATGAAGGACGTTAATGGCACATGAACCTAATTTAATGGCCTAAGCTTCACGAGTCTCCTTTAGCTTAGAGCATCTGGAATAGCATCACCAGAAGGTTACACTTTCGACCCCTCTCGCACCTCACTAACTTCTCATTTATCTCTTAAAAGAATTGAAGACCAGGAGGAAATATTTCATATTGGTCGGGAATTTGATGAGCGTTATCATTGGCATACCCGAAAGCGTCTCACTGATGACTACGACAGGACAAGAGAAGACATAAAAGGTGAAGAGATAATAAGAAAAGTCCAAAGCAAACGGATCTAAGTTGCTTACGGTTTAAGGAGGAGAGAAATATATGTAAGGGAAAGATTAAATGTAAACCAGAACTGGATGGGCTAAAATATTGCCCGAGTCGAAATATTTCTTAAAATAGGGGATGATAAGAAAATTATTACTTTGCGATGCCATTTCACCCCCAGAGAAACCTCCAAAGAACCCGAATAGAAGACGTCGGTACTACAACGACAAGCAGAAGTATGTTCGATTTCTTCGCTTTTATGGTAATTCCCTTGAAGGAGGTATTGATCGGGCAAAAGTAATTACTGTCACAGAGAACAGCGACAAGAAAAAGAAAGGGAAAGATAAAACAGGCAAGGTGGTAAGTAACACGGTTTCAGTTTAGGAAAAGAGTTCATCATGATGATGTTTACTTTATGCAGATACAGCGAGAACGTGAAAGAACTCGGAAACAGAGGACTAAACGCGACTTCCCGCGTTCAATTTGCTGCTCTGCCATTATAATGGTCAAGTCGGTTGCGCCGTCACGGTCGTCACTGTTAATACGTTCTTTTTGCCAAATCTGTTTTATAACTGGACACAAAGTAGGCATGCAATCGATGAACACCATTACCATTCTCATTACAATTCCGAACGTCATTGATCATTGTCATTATCGTTCAAGTCATTCTCATCCCAATCACCACTATCACATCACTAAAAAAACGTTTTTTTACCTCAAATTAGGACTAATTTAACAGCTAAGTCACGTCAACCAACAGACGTACTGAGAAGATTGACTATTGCGGTGGAACTAAGTCATTAACTTTTTTACCCTCGAATCTAATGCTTGATAAGTTCACTGAAAATCTGAGTATAATTCTGTTACATGTACTCATTTACTTCAATCTTTTACAGAGCAAAACGCAATTACAGTTAATAGAGAAAAACAAACAGAGGCGTAAAGGTAATTAAATAACAGCAACTTAATTAATATGCGTCTGAGCGGTTTACAAAGTGAAATTAACATATAAAACAATGGTATCTTTACAATTCGCACAAAATTATATGAATTGAATTAACCTTATATGATTGTCACCACCCGCAAATACCACAGGCTAATCGCGGCGGGCAGTGACAACAATTTATAAAAAGCTTAGAAATAGTTATAAGTAAAAGTGTCTAAATAAATAAATAAATAAATAAAATTCAAGAATAATTAACTAGTTGAATGAAGCACACACCAATTTACTGGCTTAATTACGGATAGTTATTTAAACAGGAAGACATTATTGTAGACCGCGCGTTCTTTGAAGAAGAGTTGCTCTATCGATATAATTATCCTCAGCGGCGAGGATTTTCAGAACTGCATTATGGATTTTTTCCTTGAATTGCTTTCGAGAGAGTTTACGAGTAGAGGTACTTAGAGAATTCCAAACTAAGGTAACAAAACTAGCAACAGAATTCGGGTTACTGTTTAATGTAGAACTGAGGTTTAACATAGAAATTTCCAGCAGAAGCTGACCTCGTGTTATATGAATGTATTTGTCTGGAACAAGTGAATACGCGGCGAAGGTTTTCCGCTGTATTATCGTTCGAAACATCATGCATGAGGACGGAGACTGTTTTAAAGTAGAGTAGCTTTAATTTATCGGTAGAATATTAGATGTAACACAAAAAAAGGAAGTGAATGATCCCTATACTGTACGGGAAGGAATGGATAAGGCGTATGACACGGTTTCTACAGCAATAAAATCTTGTGTAAATTTGTTTTATAGCCTCACCCCAGCAGGGTATAAGGCCATAAGACAAATGCGGGAAGAGTAAAGATCCTTAAGGTTGAGTAGAGTACTCTGGGGACAAACGGCCTCGGTTTCGCAATGACGCCAACGGCTTTACTGATTTTAGTAGACACTAGTCAATACGAGGTTTCCATGTGAGGTGACTTTCAATCAATACTCCAATATCTCTCATATTCTTTCTGTTCTAGATAAGTGGAAGAAGGTTTGTGACAAGTGCAATTTTTTAAGTGATTGTCAATTGGCATTTCTTTAAAAGGGTGTGGTTTAGAGAGGGCGAATAGATATATCCAGAATGATCAACATTACTGATATCGCGCCTCTATCAACCACTGCATTATAACAAATTGATACACTCTGGGATCCAATCGCGCATATATAACTGCTGCACTATATATTGCAGTCAACATTTCCTCACAGATGATGTCGTTGAGAGTGAGAAATAAATTCCACACGTGGGTTTATTTTGTGTCAATATCATAGTTTCTTTCTCAATGCAATTTTCAATTATTTCTGCGATTATTTTTGTTTGCTCTCTTTTAAACACGTTTTCTTTCCATAAACTTTCTCTGATTTAACAGACGAGGAAATGAAGAAGGAGCAAGACAAATGGTGTAACACCTTTAAAAACATTGAGCCACTTTTGAATAAACCAGACTACGAAAATGCGTTGGAGCTGATGAATGAATTTTTGAAAAACACCTCATTCCCACAAGTTCGTTTACCAGCTTTGATGGTTAAAGCGAAATGTTGCTTCCGTGCTTGGCGACAAAAACGTAAGTTATTCAAAGTTGGTCGACTAAGTAGAAGTGATTTCAAAATTTAATTTCCAGTGAACTTCAGTATCGTCTTGTGAGTGACATTATCTTTTTAAAATTAGAATTTGCAACAGGGTATTCCTCGTAAACGAACGCCGTGAATTTTCTATAATATACGGATTGTTTTAAACGTCGGAAGAGTTGACGATAAATCGCTACGACACGACGCGAGTACAGGTCGCAGCCATGACTCGTTTCTGCTGTACGAAAGACTTAACGCTGCTAACCTGTTGCAGCGACTTGTCGCTTAGTTCGGTATCGCCGTATGCTGACCTTTAACATCAGTTGTTTCAATACCCTGTTTTGCTTCGTTGACTTAACAAAAGTGAAGAATTTTTTAATATATCTGGTTATTTTTCCACTGCATCATGCATCTACTGTTGCGATGGAACTGGGGCAATAGGCCATCAACACAACAGCGCGATTAGTAACATATGAGACCTTACTTTTATATATTGACAAGAGAGCTCTTGATTTTAAGCCGCTTGAAAGCTGTAAAAAGACTAGCCTTCCTTATAATATAAGGTTTAAAAACTCCGGCCTTTCCCATTTTCTGCTATTGTGTCTCAAGATGGAGAATTCTATCTCCCAAAACTTGAAATGTTTCCTTCAATTATCAATGGGTTTTTGGTAACAAAAAAACTTACCCCTATGGCCCTATGGCCTATTACCCCTATGAGCGCCATGGGCAGCGACAGAACTATCATTATTATGAAAGATGACTCTGAATACGTTCCAGGATTTGGCGAACCCAGCACAGATGACATGAAGTATCCAGTGCTTCTTATGGATGTTGCCCAGAAAATAGTGAAAGAAGAAGAAAAAGAAGGAAAGGGAAGTCTTCTTACGGAAAAGCAGAAGAAGAAACTTTCTAGATACATTCAGAAACTAGGATTTGAAAACATCGCTGCGACGTTTCATGATTCAAATGCAGGCAGCAGAGAACAGGTAGTCAATTTCGATTGGGTAGTTTCTCTTATTTTATATGTTATAACCTTTATTATTCATTCAATTCTAATTGGCTCCAATACCCCTTCAAATTCTTCATAACCAACTGGCGCTTACCATATTTGGAAGATGCGAGAAATATACCATTGATTCGATGGTATAAATTATGTTATTAAAAACGGAATCGTTGGATAATGCAATTCTAGAGCTCTGATTGGCTTAGCCATCGTGGTATATGAGCCATTATACCATGCTCTCCAAATATGTTAACTTTACGCGTCTACCCATAAGTTAAAAACAAGCTGAAAATCTGCTGTGTTTTTACAAGTAAAGTCGCGAAGAATTCTCGATATTTTGATGGCGTTTTTAATAACACAATTGGTAATGGATTAAACAAACAATTATTCCACTAGCGCTATCTCATATCCAACGCGCACTCGTGGAATAGTTGTTAAATATACTATCTATCAACCTCGTTTCCAGGCGTGGCAGCCTAGCTGTTTATTCCTGAGTGAACTGAAAAAGAAAATGGCGTCCACAGCTATCGGAAGACGAAATAGCTGAGTTTCTAACTAACTGAACGGGAGAAATGCAAGAATACGCAAAATGTTATCTGCATTTTGAGAAAGGGAAAACTTCATCTGCTTACATCCCGAAACCATGCCGAGAAATAGGCGAAAGTTTTGAGGAAAGTCTACGAGAAGGCAAGCTTGTTAAGAACTTAGAAATATTTTGAATGAGAACTAAAACAATTACTGAATTCGGCTTTGGTATGATGTATTTAAACACGAGAATAATATAATGAATAGACGAAGGTAAAAGTATTGGTAATTAGTCAAAGGAGGTACAGTATTCCCCACTTTAGAGACTAGAAGGAAGTTTGGCTGGCTGAACTTTCGCAAAGTATTTTGAGACTGACTGGACTGACTTACTGGCGACAGGGAAAAAATAGCCAATAGCTGACAGCCGCCTCCTCATTTACAACCCCAGAGGTCCCTGCGATAGTTAACTCGGCCAAGTTTCCTTCTCAGATAAGATATTACTTTTTATTATATAAACACCAATGAACTACCAGGTGAGCTTTCGCGCGAAAACATGATATCTTCACACGTGAAAATAACATGTTATTTTCACATGTGAAAATATCACGGTTGCTATGGCTACATAATAAATCGCGCCTTTCGCAGGAAAAAACTGTTTCAGTGAAATGGTTTGGTATTTCATTGGTGTTTATATAATAAATAGAACATTACATGGCCGCTTGGAGATACGAAATTTCTCTTCTCGTGTTGAAAATATTTCACTCGTTCGCTGCTCTCACTCGTAAAATATTTTTCAACACTCGAAGAGAAATTTCGTATCTCCGCGCGGCCATGTAATATCCTCTAGTTATTAAATTTTCAACCTCGTATAATGCATTTCTAGCATTCTGATTGGCTCAATCAGTCTCGGTTATCAGCTCAAATACCTTAGTTTGACCTTATATGGAAAACAAAACACAAAGCGGCGGAAAAAAGTAGATTTCGCGAGCTTTCTACCGACGAAACAACAGGAAAAAAACAAAATGCAATACCGACAGCGACAAAAAAGCCACAAACTTTGGGCTGAAATTATTTAATTGTACTCCGAAGTTTCGTTACAAATTTAAGGAGATTATAAGCTTAACTTTTCCGTACGTCGAACTGATTATGTAACAACAACAGTTTTCAGAATGGCTTACAAGCCCTTGCAGGAGTAAGCTTTCTAAACCATTAGCAGACTTTTTTTGCGTGTTTGATGAGCATTTACACACCTCTTAAAACTTTCCCAAGTCCATAACGGAACATAAGGGGCCTCAAGTGAATCCTACAACGAGCGGCTTTTTATTGAACAACAACAACAAGCCCGAACCCTACGACGATTTCTTTGCCGAAAAGCGCTCAGGAAGAAACGTCGCCTGTTTAATTTTTGTGCTGTTGCAAAGTACTAATAAAAAAGCGAGGTACGTAAGCACTTCTTGTAGGATGAAAACCCTTTGACTTAAAAGTAGCTAAAGGATGAATACGAAACTACAAAAAATTATTATTATTATTATTTGTATTATCATTAAAAAGTGTTTTTCATTTTAACAGAATGGTCAGTTCTCGGTGCGTCAGACAAGCGCGCGATTTCAGCTGGAACACATGGGACACTTACTGCAACGGGAAGAGCGCAACGATCCCGACCCGCGTGTGGAACACTTTATTCCAGACACTTGGCAGGTTTGTAAATTAAAACTGGTCACTACAATGATGGTGCAAGCTCATTTGGTTCCTCTCTTTTCTCCGATGGCTTTGGAGGCGAATTTAAGTATTTAGTGGTATATGAAAATGGTCAGCGACGTACTTTAGTCGCCTTGAATAGGACGAAAGAATTACAAAATTTGTTATCTAAACAGAGAAATATATTAGCTGTAGAGAAATATCAAATCCAATGGACAGAATGAACTGGAGCTGAGCTAGAGGGTACATGCTATTTGTGTTGTGTTCTATAAGTAATTAGGTTGTATATTTTAGGACATTTGGCGGAGAAATATAGAATCTAATTGGCAGTATAACAGACGTCAGCTAAACTTCTGGGATGGAAATGAACCCAATAAAATTCTTTTGTAAGAACACTGTAAAGCAACCAGCATCTCCATACGTACACAAGAAAGAATATCTTGAGGTTTCGCGCACTTCCAACCTGCTAGGAATTATAACAAAACTAAATTGTGGGGATCTCAGGTGAACCTACAGTAGAATCCCGATTTTTTGAACCACCGTGGGAAAAGCAAATTGTTTTATCTGGAGGTTTAGAAAAGGGCGTAAAGTTACAGTGTTTTACTGGTGAAGGGAAGTTAAGTTTGGTTCGAATTATCAGGAATTTCAAAAAGCCGAGGGTCCGAGAAATTGGGATCTACTCTATTCTTACTCGATCCGTTATCCTCTTTGCAGCGTAAGCTACTAGATGCTGTGGATAATAACGAGTCAGCAGTTATAGTCGCACCGACGTCATCAGGGAAAACATACGCCTCGTATTACTGCATGGAAAAAGTGTTGAGAGAGAGCAACAATGGAGTTGTGGTTTATGTTTCACCCACCAAGGTAATATACCAGGGGAAGCCTCCCTGTAGTATACCTTCATTAACAATATTTGAGAAGCTTTCATGAAAGTTGCTTGTGAGAAGCTTTCAATGATAACGCAAGAGTGCCGTTAACTCGACGAATTTAGTAAGAAGCCCTCGAGAATTTCCCTTGTTGACTTGTAAGCCTTTAAAACTCTGAAGTTGTCTAGAGTCTTCGAAAATTAATCCACAGTAAATTTTGAAGATTTTAAAAAAGGGGAGAAGTATTCCGAAGGTTTCTGAAGTTTTCCGCGCTGGTGGTTCCCAACGATTTCTAGAAAGGACGGTTATCAAATTTTTAGTTCTTATTAGGAAACATTGTAGTAACACGGGATTCAGGTTACCTGGTATCTGTTAATTAGAAGGAAAATGTACGATTAAAGCGTAAATGTATATAAATTAATAAATTAAATGACCTCTCTCCGTACAATTTTTGGTCAAAGGCTCCCTCTTTTGGTTAAAGGCCTCCTCTGGAAGTTCTTGCTTAATACACATTAGTCACCAAATGCAATGATCTTTTTTACAAAGAAAATTTCTACATTATTTTATTTTTTGCGGAGATTATTTAACACTTTTATAGGGCGGCCACTCGAACCAGAGCACTTGGAAGACGAGTATTCAATGACAATCATTTATGTTTCTTGAACACAAAAGAATTGCACGATTTTGCAAACGGACTAATAACGTTAAAATATTTCAACAATGCGACCGTCCAAACTATTAAAACAGTCACATTGTTTAAATGCTTAAATGTTATTGGTCCGTTTGTAAAGAACGTAAGATCTCTTGTGAATCTTGAGAATCTCTGTCGTAATTGGATACTCTTCTTCCCCCAGTTCGAGACGCTGCACTTTAAATAAAGTTTAAAACTTTTGGCATCTGATTCACTTCGATGAGATAATCGTTGATTATTATAATCATTATGATAACTTAAGATTTACATCAGTAGTGATAACCCCAATACAAGAATTTGATCAAGAATTTAATGTTCTCTTGGTAGGCTTTGGTGAATCAAGTTACGGCAACGATTTACGCCCGTTTTCACCGTAAACAACTTCCAGAGGGAAGAGCAGTTTACGGCGTATTCACCAGAGATTATCGTCACGATGCTTTGAACTCGCAGGTAGATTTATTGTGTTAATAGACCATTTCCGGGTTGCCTGAAGCCTCTGTTTTAAATCGAGGCTAAGTGCAAACCCATTGTCTTGAAAATTGTTTTTTTTATTCTCATGCAAATAATACTCATTTTCAAAAGAAAAGTTTTGCAATTAGCCTTGTTTTGAAGGTGAGAGTTTTTGGAACTCAGAAATGGCCTATTACCTTGAACATTGTAAGCAACATTTTATTTATCTATCTATTTATTTATTGAATGATTAATTGTTGATTGATGTATAAGCAATATTTATACTGGCAGATCCAGGTCAGCTAATGCTGGTATAACCGGAGGCCTGTATAACTATTTTAAAATCCATATATACTTGACTAATTCAGATTTAACATTTGCCTAGTTTTGTTTGCTATACAGTGGAACCTGTAATCTGGGGACACCCTCGGGACCATGTCAAATGTCCCCTGAATAGGGGTTGGGCTTGGATTCGTCAAAAATGAACAAACAAGTAAAATATATTTTTTTATTCCTGCCTCGGAAATTGCTTCAGTCGTTTTTTCAAGGAGCTAGATAATGTATCAACATTCATGACTAATTTGCCTCCGCGATACCGGCTGTTAAATTCTTACACGTGCAGTACAGTGACTTGAGTGATATAGTTCATGTCATGAAATCTGTCATCATTGTGACTGGCTAGTGAAGACTTAAATATATTAACCCCTTTTTTGGTAAGGCGCGTTTTGAGTGCTAAGGTGTCCATTGAATGGAGGTTAATTAACCCTGGTTTCGGGGCCCAGAAATAGTGTCCCTTTCCCCTGAAGAGAGTTACCACTTCAAAAGGGTTAACAAATACAAAGATTATGCGCACATTTTCTGGGACTAAATTTACATGCACATGTAAAATTCAATTCTAACATGTAAATATCACGTAAATCAACTACAGATCACTGTAAATGACACTTCCCTGGAAAATTACCCTTTTACAGGATCTTAAATTAAAGTAACTGCAAAAAAGGTGTAAATATTAGGAGCAGAACATTTAAAGAATGGAGACAATCCTGTAAAATGTAAAGGTTTTAAAGGCAAGATCATGTAAATATACTGTGAATATATTGTCAAAAAATACTGTAACAAACAAGTAAATTAAACAGGATAGTTTACTGCGACATTGTAATTATTATGTAAAAACCGTGTAAATCGAAAAGGGATGGAATCATTCAACATTGTAAAAATTCCGAAAATCAAAAAAGGGAGACTGATTTGATCCTGTAAAAACCTTGTAAATCGAAGAAGAGAGACTGATTTGACCCTGTAAAAACCTTGTAAATCGAAAACGAGTGACCGATTTGACCTTTTAATAACATTGTAAATCGAAAAAGGGAGACTGATTTACCCTGTAAAAACCTTGTAAATCGAAAAAGAGAGACTGATTTGACCCTGTAAAAACCTTGTAAATCGAACCATGGAGATTGATTTGACCCTGTAATAACATTGTAAATCGAAAAGGGGAGACTGATTTGACCCTATAAAAACCTTGTGCCCAAAAGGAGAGGTTCCACCGTATAAGACTTCTACTCAGTGGAACCTAAAGCCTAGTCGGAACCAGATGTAAAATACTCACATAAAACTAGTTAGTAGTCTGAGTAGTTAGTACTGTTAATCATCCACCCAGCGCGAACGACTATGAAATGCAAGGTCCGTCATGGTCCATGAAATCGCGGAACAAATTTTGGCCTGACAATAGTAAATATTCGTTGATTTGTAACTGAGTTATGGTTGAATAACTCATTGTTTTTCTCGGCAGATTCTTGTGACAGTTCCACAGTGTCTGGAGATTCTATTTCTTTCACCTCGGAGGCAAGATTGGACAAAGAACGTCAAATACGTGATATTTGATGAGGTTAATAATAAGATCTCAATTTTTCTACATCAGAGTATAGATTTTTTTTCAGAACACGACTTTTACTTATCTAAGGAAAGTTAAAACTTAGTTAGCTGAAATCTCATTAATTAAAATAAGTTACATATTTAAGTAACGATCAGTGCTTGTGGTATGTCTTTCAAATAAAAGACGATAAACCAGCCGAGGAACATGCCATTTGTAAAACTGAGTTAGAAATTGCTGGCTGATAGGCGCTTAAGACGGGGCAGTAAACTAATAAACAACTTACCTTTTGCAGGTTCACTGCCTGGGTGAGGAGATAGGAGCCGAAGTCTGGGAACACCTCCTTCTTTTGATTCGTTGTCCCTTTTTGGCGCTTTCAGCTACCATTGGAAATCCAAATCATCTTCGAGAGTAAGATCTATACAGATCTATTCACCTTTCAAAGCTTTGAGCGGAACAGGTTGTTTATAGAATAGTGGAATGTGAATTTAGAAAGTTATTTGAATGAATGAGGTTACCAGTTGTATTTGTTTCTTCTTGCAGCTGGTTGCAAGCTGCCCAAAATTTTCGTGAGCAACAAGACAAACAAGAGGGTGACAACTTGAGGGAATCATATCGTGTCAATTTGGGTAAGTTTATAATCGGCAAATACGTAAATACCATAATTATTTCTCCAATTACTTCTTGATGATCGCATTCTTTTATCCTCAGTTATCAAATATGGACAATGATAATGTATAATTGGGGTCGGTACATGCAAAGTTTGCAAATCAGCAATATCTCCCTTTTTTCTTTGATACTCTGGCTTCACAAACCTTTAGTACAAGAGAGACGTTGCGATTTCGATTCTCTACGGGATCCTAACTTATGGTCTTAACATAAACTAAAAGTGAAAGTACTCTGTTGCTCTGCAAATCTGGTAAACCATATAGAATGTCAATTGGTATTTTGGGCTAAACACATTCACATATTAGTGAGGTATTTTTATTGCTTGCCAGAGTGGTGGGGAGAACAGACAGATCGCCGCATGTAAGGGAATCCGAGACAATCTTTGATTCTGGATTCCAGTCACTAGGTTCCAGATTCTTGTCTTTGGAACTTGGATTCCGGATTCCAGTCGTTGATTCCGGATTCCTTAAGCTGCATTCCGGATTCCAGAGCCCAGGATTCCAGATTTCAAAAGCAAAAATTCCTCTCATTCCGGAATCCAAATTCGCTTTCATGGGGCGAGACAGAGTTTTTTTTTCTCGTGTGTCTCTTCCTTACTCAGATAAATTGGTGTCCCTTAAGTCCAACCTCTCCCTTCTTTATTACTATCGCTATTCTTTTAGTTCAGGCATTTTATCGCGAAAAGTCGGTCAACCTGCCACTAATTGCAAAAGAAGGTTTTTTAACGGTTTTTTGTCCAGGAATATGTCCTCTATTACATATCAAAAGTCCCCGAAAATCCGAGTAGGGGAAGTTGACGAAAAACGAGTTTTTTAATTGCCCTATATAGACTAATACTGCGCAGCATGGAAACGACGTTGTATGTACTGCCTGTTGTGTTGCTCGAGTTTGAAGCCCCGTACAGCATGGGCTAGTAAAGACTGAGAGAATTTATTGTGTTTTCTTCCTAAGTGCATTTATGTAACGATTAAATAAAACAACTGTTCTGTATAAGATTCTTAAATCAGAAAAATCCACGATTGTTAGCCATCTATAGGTGAAGTATTTAGCGACGAATTATGTCTTCCGCAAGCGAATTTAAAACTTTAAAAGGATAATTTTAAACTGAACGTAAAAGTAATATCTTGTTTGAAGGTAATATAATTCAAGAAAAATATATTTGACTTGAATGTTTCGAGTAGAGACTTCCAAAATGAACTGATCATTCACCTCGGTGAAAAAACCTGTACTTCACTCATCTCTTCGGGCTTACTTTTTCCGGGAGTCACAAAACTTAGTTTGTTAGTAAATTCATCTATCTTTTTTCTTCAAAATTTTAAGAAAAAAGACTAGGAATCGTATCAAGATTTATGAAACTGGAGACCATTTTTGTTAAAGCTGAAGGAAATGTTTTCACTGCCTTATGAACGAATAAATAAAGCGCGCGCCCTGCAATGCCAAAGTTCCGGTTCAAGTTGAAAATTACAAAGTCAATGGGAATTCCAATACACACATTCGCGTTTCGATTTTAAAAAGAATATTACGGGATTGAAGGTATCCTAAGGCCCGGTTCAGACGCCGCTCCACTCATGTGCCGAACCTAACTGAGGTATTAAGTACGGCAAAAGAGCTGCGTCTGAATCAGTTTGGTACGGCAGTTTTAATTTGGTGCGGCAAAAACGTTAAGTTCGAAGGGGTCTGTCGCATTATTCGACATTGGAGCGGCAGGTGATTCATACGGCGTTCTTCTCATGTGCCGGATCAAATGCATACATTATGATATCGGACCCAGGCCTTTTTCTTTCTCTCTACATGAAATAAAGATTAGGTTCGACACAAGGTGCGCCGTCTGAAAGCTGTCTGAATCAGATGTCGCGCCAATGTCGCTCCAAAGTCGAACCAAACTCAGTTAGGTTCGGCACATGAGTGGAGCGGCGTCTGAACCGGGCCTAACTATACCGAAAAGAACGTTTTTCTTATGACTCAACCAGTCTCAAATTACGCGGGTAGACACAATACCTGATACAATACAAACTTTAATTGACACTCCCTAAAGATCCCCAAAGAGAGGACTTTTCAGTGAGAATGATTATCACTAAAGTTGAAACGAGAGTACGGTAAATCTAAAAATTACAAAATTACAATAATAAAATGTTTTATAGAAAAAATTAAGAAAGCTAAAAAGTAAATAAATATTCACCTCAATTACAACTGCAAAAGAAACTTTAGAAAATACAATGAAATAGATATGATACAAACTAAGACCGATAAGATAGGAAAGCAGCAAATAATTCGACTCTAAGTTTACGCTTTAAATTACGAGCAGGGGTTACAGAGTTTGAGGAAATTATCTAAACTGTTCCACAGACTTACTATACGGTAAAAGAATGTCCTTTGTCCGGATTTACGGTTTCAAATAGGGGTATATACAGAAGTTGGGAGCTTCTGGTCGTGCGACCACTTACTTCACCACGTGTTAGAAACGTCGATGAGAGGTAAGTAGGAGCGGAGCCAGTCATACTTAAAAGCAAGCACGGCGTCACGGAGATATAGCGGAGATTTAATAGGTAGCTAATGCAGTTCTTTCAGAAGCGGCGTAACGTTGTCAAATTTTCTGGAAACACAGATAATCCGGGCTGCAAAATTCTGGACCGCTTGGACTGAGCTTGAGAAGGTTTAAGTGTCCGCTGCATTGGACCAGACGGAAGAGCAATAAAACAACTTACTAAACACTAAGGTGTTAATTGTTGTGGTTAAAGTCGATCTGTCAAACACGTGCTTAACACGACTAGTTTGAGCTAAACTTGAGAAGCAAGAAGAAACTGTTTTAACAATATGCTTGTGAAGTAAGGCTCGAGATCAAGTATTTTCTGTTGCAAAGGACTTCCCGCCCGCCTGCCCCAGAATCGCTTCTTTAGTTAATCAGATGCAACTATTAGTCTGACTGTAGGCTAGCAGTATAAGGTGCATTTGTCGCAGAATGCTGAATGGTATACAGTGTTCCCCGGCCTGTAAAGGGTCTTCGTGCACAAGTTTTTAGATCACTGTAGACTACGAAAGTTAAGATTCGGAAGACTGGCGTATTTAAAAATTAATTTTGTAAGAGGCACATGTAGAATTGAATTAAAGAGGGGTTTTCTTTACATAGGACTTTTTTGTCGCGAGTCTTATGCAATTTTGTCTCGTAATGTTTCAGCAAAATCAGATCTCACTGCTGGGGAGTACATAGATTCTAATTTTTGCGAACTTCTTTCACGATTAAAGCCTTAAAATAATTTTTCTTAAGAAAATATTCTTAGTTTTGGCGAAATGGCTCGATTTATATCAATAACAAAAGCTAAACAGCAACTTCCGGTTGACAGCCTCGTTTTCATGCTATGGGAAAAAGGGACTCATGTTAAGAGTCCTGTTTGGAGGTGTTCCCATGCTTGGATCTTTGGGGACTTTTAGTATGTTCATGTATGGGATATTTCTAACTGGTCAATGATGAGAAAGCTTCTTTTGCAATTAGTTACAGGTCCGACGACAAAATGCCTGGACTATTTTATCTAAAGGTGCATTCAACCCCCAACTAAGAATCGTACAACCGAATTGCTTACTCTAGGTGAGTATTTTCCTACCACCACTATACTTATCCTTGGTTTTTGTCACTGCTCTCCACATTTTTTTTTCTGCACTTCCGACGCGTCGAGTAGTCACATGCGAGGAAAGGTATTCAGATCTGGAGAAGAGTATTTACCTACCAAGTCCCAGTAATGGTGGCTTTTCAAAACGAACAAGGAAATACGAGAAAGAGTATGACGTTCAGAGTACAGACGAATTTGTCAGACTTCATCCGTGCGCTCAACTTGTAACGAAACAGGTTTGTCTTACACCTATTGCATTGGTTTACCGATTTAGCTTGCTCACTTGGGAAAGTTTGAAAAAAATCTTGTGGAATCCTCAACCGCACAAAAATAACCTTTCCATATAATTGATGCATTGAAGCCTTTCCAAATCCAGGGTTCCTACAGGTCATGGAAAACCTGGAAAGTCATAAAATTTAACAATTTCATTTCCCAGGCCGGGAAAGTCGTAGAATTTAATTGTTGGTCCTGTAAAGTCATGGAAATTTTAAGAAAAATAGGTGGACACCTGAAGTTGTTTTGAACTGCGTTAGTTCAAAAATTCCCTAAAACAGAGAAAGTTTTGACAATTTTCTAGCGTAAAAAGCTGAAATAAGGTCATGAAAAACTTGAAAAGATCATGGAAAAAGTCCGGGAAAGTCATAGTGGAATTTTAAGAGCTCAAGAGTACGAGCCCCGGAAATCCAATACCAGACAGCAAAACTACTCACTTAGAGACCCTGTCAACTGATTTCTAGCAGTCTAGTGTAATTAAACCTTTACGAAGAAAATGGTTCGGTGTTCAGTGAAATATGAATCAAGTGGACACTCACTATCAAAGATTTATGGGAAGAAAAGTTTGCTTCTTACTGGTGTGTGTGCTCTCTTGAAGCAAACGGTGTCCGATCCATGTGGGGTCTGTTTAATACATGTAGTTTTTTTTTAAGTGTTCCCTCTCTCCTTCTACAGCTAAAAGAAAATGGTTTTCCAGGTGATATGGCTCTCACGCCTAAAGAATCTCTTCAGTTGTATAACACCATGGTTGAGAAATGGTGTGGCAAAGAATCATTGCAGGTTAGCCGATAATGTGTTCGTTCGTAAGCGGACGAAGAAATTTCAGTATATCATAATATTGCATAAAACCTGTTTCCAACTCTCAATAAGGATACGTTTTTTTTCGATCAGTGCAGGGCTTGATGTTGTGGTGAGAAAACACGTTTTAGCCCAGTTCTGTCCTCTTTTCTTTCACACAACCTATGCTTAGAGAGAAAGATACGTTTGAGAACTGTACTTGAACCGTTGACAAACATCCTTAGCCTAACGCGCTAACAAATGAACGGGAAACTCCCTTCTTGTTCCAAGCCGTAAATTTCCGAAATCCAACATACATTCTTCTTGGCTTACAGATGACTGATAAGTAGTTTTCACCTTAATTATTACTCAGGACTCTTTTCAATAAATTCCGGAATATCAACGTATAGAAATATTTTCACTCTATATTGGATGAGGCCTTACAACAATGAGCTAAGAATGCAACTATTTTTATAACAGAAACTTTCTCCGGAGCAATATTTCTTGGAACAGTCTTTCATTACCAAAAGCAATGCAAGGCAGTATGAGAGGGAGCTGAAAAAGGAGTTAAAATCATGGGCTGATGATAACCAAATGGAAAAGGTAAAACATCAAATACACGGGAATAATGATCAAGAAATTTCTGGATGTGAAAACACAGGCGTGGGAATGAAACTACTGAAATTGAGCTTGGTTTCACTGAAGTTAGATAGGATTTAACCATACGTTCAGTTAATAAAATTTCCAATAACTGATTGACAATTGCTGGATAAGAGTTGAACGTGAAAATTCTGTTAAGACCATTCAGTGAATGCAGATGTCACCTTATGGGAAAACTGAGAAACACCATGTGCTAACGCGCAATTTGTCCTTTGGATAATGTGCGTGCACCTGTTTAATTAGGGTACTTCTGATCATTTTAATGCCTACATATTAACGCGTCTCTACTTGATAGAGTAGAATCTTTATCCATTCGCCTCGTACGGGAGATGCATGTTTACCAACATGACAAGCTTTTTTCCGTTTAGGTTGAGGCAGTAATTCAGGCATTGAACGACACTTTTGTGAAGAGAAAGGCCTTGATTGACAAAGAGTGGATGGAACTGGGAATGCCTTCATCTGGGAAAGAATTTAACATAAAAAACTTTCCAAAGCTCATCGAGCAACTGAAAGCACAAGGAAAACTTCCAGCCTTAGTGTTCAGGTACACTTTTGCCTTTATAGACAAAAGGGTCTTCATAAGCAAACCTGATCAAGAGTACCAGTGAGTCGTTTTCAACAACTTACAGGAATTCCGTTTTCAAAATATATGGGTGAACGCTTAACCTGGTTTTATTGTGAGTTGATATGTGTTCGTGTATGACATAAAAGGGCATTTTTTGTGTCTTGATCCTAATGACTCTATGAACTAACCTATACCACTGAGTAAAAAGTAGATATGGTAGATTTTGACTGTCAAAGTTTTTCATAAACCGAATGGAATAAAGGGGACTGATAAGGGGGGCAAATACCCCGCTGTAGCCAAGGGGGATTGGGGCAACTGGAATTGACTGATGCATAACTTAAAAGAATATCCAAGACGAGCCGCTTCTGTGAATGCAATGCTAAGTAAAACAAGGCAAGACGTATGTCGAAAAGGCAAGGATATTGCGAAAAAGGACTGCAACGCAAGGGAACGTAAAACAGAATGAAGCAGGCTTTTATTACTATTATTACCTTTTTCATGATTAACGTAATTTACGTATGGTGTTCCCGGTTTTGTCATTTTACAGCTTTGATCGCATGGAATGCGAAAGAATGGCCTTTGGACTTGCCGGCGAGTTCTTAAGAAGAGAAAGGCAGATTAGAGAGCAAGACAACCCAAAAAATGCAAAACTAGCAAGGGAACTAAAGCAACATAAACAAGCTCAAAAGTTATTGAAAAGGAAAAGGGATGCTATTGAGAAAATTAAGGAGGGCAGGTAAAACATTGAAACTCACATTTCGATATAATTCAGTTGTTTTTCTTGTTTAAAATTTACCTATCTTCTCCGTATAGATCGATCTGTATGAGATTTGAGTTTTTTCCTTTCCCCTTTTACTAAAACGGCTTTGAATTTTATGTTCATGACAGATACCACTCACTCTTGGAGCAAGTAGCAGTTCCAGAAGTGAGGAAAAAGGATTATGCAAATCTAAATCGCCCTCTACCGCAATGCACGCTTGCATTTACTCATGGAATTGGAAATGAGGTAATAAACAGCAGCAGACCAAGCATTGCTACCCGGTCCACTTGTGAGCGATATAACGGTCCTCTTTAGTATACTTATACACCGTAAGTTGATAAAACATCCCCAGAGTTTCCGTTTAGACGGTACTTCCAAAAAGCCCCCTTCCTCGCAGCAAAAAGTGGATCTCAACTTTTCTTAACCTGGAGCAACCTAATTTGTGGCAAGACCGGTTTGATTCATGGGAGATATAAAAACAACATCGGCATCAGCTCTTTAACTTGTTTGCAGCATTGTCGCAAAACAAGTTGCAGGTGTTTTACTGCCTCCGTAGCCTCATTACTTAACACAGTTCAAGTTTTTATAAGCTATTTAATCATATTTTCTGGTTGTTTTTCTTCCAGGACTTGAAGAAAATTATTGAAAGAATTGAGACGGGTAAAAGAAAATCAAAGAGAAAGCAAATTGTCAAATTCAAAGCTGCTCTGAGTCGTGGAATTAGCTATCATCATGCAGGGCTCGACTTTAAAAGGCGTTCTTGCGTCGAAATGCTATTCAGAGAAAAATATCTACAGGTCAGTACATTAAGTGCCAGTGTACTTATTTAACCAAATAAAACTCTTGGTTTCACTTGTGATGAAACATAAAACAATCAACCAATCGGAGGGTCGCAATGGGGTTGACGTCAGCCGTCGAAAAAGGTTATTTTTCACCATCAACCGTCCAAAATGCAGACTAATTTAAACAGTCAAATGTCAGTATTTCAGCTAATCTTCACGGACTTCTTGCTCCTGAAGCTGAATCTCTAAACTAGAAAAACCAGTTCCTATGTTCTTTAAAACACTCCCTGTAGACGAAACAAGAACTCACTACTTACTTACAACTCGAAATCATAAGTGAAAGGCCAAGACAGCCTCCAAAACATAGCGGATCGGAGCTTCCCCGCACGAGTCTCCATTGCTTTAGATCGATGCGAGAAAATTTAGCAAACACCCGTACACCCTGCCCGAACAGATTATGGGGGAGAGAGAGGGGAGATTGTAAAGGAGGGGAAAGGAGTCCCCCTGACATGCAGCTTGGGTTAGTCTTGACGAAAGTGAGCCAGACTTTCACAAATAAATTAAGGCTCTAGGATCAGTCAAAATTTTGACTGGTAAATTAATTCACTGAAGGCTTTCAGTTTGGCTAGTGTTCATTTTGTTAATATGGCTTATCAGCACTTGTCCATTTAAAGCCGGGGACAGTGTCCCGATTATGCACACGCGCGAGTGTCATCTGTTTTTTCTCTAATAGACAATAGAACTGTCATATTTACGTCACAAGATTTCCTTCAGGACCGTACCGCCGATGGAGTTGTTGTTTATCATACTCAAGCAGGAACCCATAACCCGGAGCGAGCAACTCCCATGCTAAACCTATGTCACGGCGTTCTTACGGACCAGTTCATTTTTAGACACATTTTAAGCTAATTTTTCTCACGAAAATAGAATCTCCACCATGTCTATATCGCAAAGGAAAACTAAACGATATTTAGAGGCAAAAATACCATTTTTAGGTTTGTGGGTTTGGTTGACTGATTTGTAGAATTTAAAAGATGTTTAGATTTAGTGCCAAAACCGTTCTAAAAATTAAACTGGTCTATGAAAACGCCGTGACACGAGCTCATGGAAGATGCTCGCTCCAGGTTATGGGCTTCAGTTCTCACTCAAGTAATACTTTAGACTTTCGAAGTCTTCGTCTTATCAAAAATTTGGCTCGCGGCACAAAGGCTTCTCGCGATTTTTTCGATGCTCGGCCACCTCGCGACCAAAAAACTCGTTCTACTCGCTTTACAGCTTTTCTGCTGTGAAACTCGTGTAAGAGGTCAATTTGTGGCGAGTCCAAGTCCAGTGACTATAACTAACTAACTATCTCTATAATTTTTGTCTACCAACGTTAAAAATGTTGAATGACCTGTATCAACATTGCATGACAGGAATGATGCACTGTTCACCTGATGAACAGAGCTTACAACGTTTGCGGAACAACAAATGTTGACCCGTGTACCTGCTACTAGCGTTTAACAGAAATCTCTTGTTATTTATGGTATAATTGCACTGCTGTTTCTTCAATATAGGTTGTCACTGCAACAGGTACCCTAGCCCTAGGTATCCATATGCCTTGTAAGACGGTTGTGTTGGCTGGAGACTCGCCTTTTTTAAACTCCCTGCAGTACAGACAGGTAGAGACAATTTTACCCACGAGTGGCGAAGTTTTTGAAAAAATCCGTGACAAAGTTCTTCTAAATACCTTTAAGATGCTTTAAAGCTACCCTTGTCTCACATCTACTCCAGAGAATGTACTGTAAGATAAAGTGGATTTTCTGCTTAGAAGATTGATTTAGGCACACTGCACACAGCTCGAGGGTTCTAAACGTTGATTTGACCCTTATCATCCTGATCAGCATAGCTGTTATTTTTACGCATGCGATTGTAAATAGCGAATTGCAACTTCTTTGCACTATCCCAGTGCAAGCTTCTAGCTTAACAAAAGACCTTTTTACATTCAGCTGGACTTCTGGAGTCCGGCAAGAAAAAGAACACTACGGAGAAAAATGGAAAGGAACAGAAAGGACGAGGGGAACTGGGAGTAAGGAAGGAGGAGCGAAGAAACAGAAATGGTCGCCGTCTTATGTCCCTTTCACAACAACTTAACATGCTTGATTAGAAAAAGTTAAAAAAAATGAGAGAGCAACAGAAAACTAGAACACAGGCCTATACACAGAATTCAAATAAAGTTTAACATGTTACATAATTTCCCTTAACTTAAGCTTCAGTAAAAGTACAGTAAGCATCTTTTACAAAAACCAAACAGCTTTTTGGAATATTTGCCCGTTGTCGTGAATGAGGCTTAAGTCGTTGTTTCTGCTACAGTAACTTGATGGAGATCGTTTTTAACTCCAAAAAATGGTTGACCAACAGACTTAACCTCAGTAAGGGTTCTCAAAATCCAGTTAGATACGTAAACTAAGAGTTGCTTTGCACACAAACTCCTTCCTAGTCAAACCTGTGCCCCAAATTATATTTCACAGATGTCTGGTAGGGCAGGCCGCAGAGGGTTTGACCCAATAGGCAACGTAGTGTTTTTTGGAATTCCTTACCGGAAGGTTCAACGCCTCATAACGGCTAATATACCCTGGCTTATTGGCAATTTCCCCATCAACGTCTCTCTCGTACTGCGCTTGCTCCTGATGACGTCAAAAGGAGACGACGAGGAAGATGCTCTAACTAAGGTTAGTGTAATCCTTACAAAGCGCTGCGATATAAAATATCTGCAGATACAATCTTTTCATCTGTTTAATCCATTCAGGATTGCCATTTTTTGGCAAGAGCGATTGACACCTCAGTTATTGTTGGTTTTCTTATCATGACCTTTCATAATATATTGCAGTCTAATTCCATTAAAAAAAAAATGCACTTTATGTGAGTGCCAATGTATTTAGCACGAAAGTGCTAACTGGGGACACTATATTTTACGTAATCCGTAATCCGTTCACCGTTCATTGCCCCGTACACCTATTTATCTAGCAAACAAACACGAAATTTCTTTTTTAATTAGTTGTTATAAGAACTTCGTGTCATCCAATTCCGGCAGTCTATAATCATACTCGTGATTAAATAAATCGGACTTCCACTACGCGGTCGTCCGATTTTGCTCATCTCTTGTATGGTTATATTTACAGACCGAATTGGACTCCACTCAGTCCTATTAGCATTATTAATTAGATACCGTGAAGAATGTTGGCTCGTGCACTCTGATGTGGGTTGTTACATATCCTGTAAAATTAGAAGCAGGAAGCTCAACATCTCCTTGCACTGATTCAGGGAGTAATTTCTCAGTGGCTTGCGCCACAAAGTTTACCACCGCCGGTATTGTCCGACTATACATCCACGTTCTGAGTGACAATTAAGGCTGCACCGCAAGTTACTAGTTCCAGGGCTCCCTCTTCCTCATTGTGCCAATTAGCTGTCTGCCTGATTCATTAAACGAATTCTGCAAAATGTTGCCAATAGATCTATGTTCAAACAAACTTTTGCGCATCCTACTAAGTATTGGATTTTATTAAGGTCACAGTATGTAAGTAATTTTGTTTCCAGGCACTAGCATTGCTGTCTCACCCATTCATCTGCCAAAAGCATCCTAACATGGAGAGTCAGATCAAGAAACATTTTCTTTTCAGCGTCGAGCTTCTTGCTAGATTGGTGAGTGGTCAGACGACTCTCAATTATCGATTCGTAAGTTATATTACTTTAAGGAAGAGCGAAAAGGCCACGATGAGTCAAGATGAATAGGACAAGGAAGACTGAGCTAAATTACGCAAAAGAGAACATATTTAAAAGTTTTATCAATTAACGGTTGTGCAAGCTCTCAAATAATGCAGTCAGCACGAGGCTTGAATGACGAACGCCCACTATTTGAGTAAGTTGTCGAACAACATGCTGCTGCAAGGCCATAGAGTGGAGAAGTTCCAAAAATCTTTTGACTATCGCAGTCACTGAAAATAACAGTACGAATGTTGACATTTCTCACAAAAATGATGGGAAAAAAGCCAGTGTTTCACTCCAGTTAGCCTATGGGCTTTCAACGTGTGAGCGCAAACTTTTAATGTATTTAATATAGTAATGTAATTACTCTCTTACTCATGGCAGCCGGTAGACGGCATGTACAACAACTCTTTTGTTCAGCATATACAATGACCTCGTTGAGTTTGCGTCTTTCGTATTTTTCTATTTATTTCCTTTTAGGGTCTCATAAACAAAGACACAGGAGCGCCACAAGAAATGGCTGGACTCGCTACCCATCTTCACTACCATGAACCTGCCAATTTTGTTTTCGTCAGCTTTTTACAGCAAGGGCTTTTTCACAAACTTTGTAAGCGCCAAAAAAGAGGTGAGTTCTAATTCATTCACTATTGTTTATCGTCGAAGAAGTAGACGGTTTAATATGCGTTTGACATTTGCCCACTCTTTGGCAAATATTCGTTAAAAAGCGCAGTTGACATTGATCGAGTAATATGTTTGCATATTCCCCGGCGTGTTATCATTTTAATATAATTGTTATTTTGTCTTCGCATTACCGTGAACTCTTTCTCCATTTTCTTGCGTTTTGTACTCATGCCTAAATAGCTAGGCTGTCGTGTCGCTGTATGTCTTGCGTAAAGAAAAAAAGTGTATGATAATGGCTCCTGACGTTTCCTACACCCTAGTAAGTGATCTAGTTACTGTGTATCTATTGCAATTTTTAAGTGATAAATGTAACCAAGATATCAGTCTGTATTGCCGGAACCAAAAAAAAGAAAGCGAAGCAATAAAGTGGTAATGACAATTTTGCACGGCGTGCTATACTTAGCCTGCGAAAAGATCCGGTTCTCCTCGCTCTTTGCCTCTGAAGACGTTTCGCGCGAAACGTCCCCAGCGGCGAAGAGCGAGGAGAAACGGATCTTTTCGCAGGCTATACTATGCTAAATAAAAAGTTTACAGAGGTAATTTACGAATTAAAGACTTATCAGTTCAAAAAGCCTATTCAAGGTTTTAATTTTACTTCTTGCCTTTTTCTTTCGGCAACAGGAGCATTTTCCGAAGACGTAATGAGGACAATGGTGCTTGTTCTTAACCACTTGTTTGCCAGACGATTCCTACACGCTAATTTTGTGCGAACAACTAAAAAGTGCCCTTCTTCGAAAGTAAGCTTCCTTTTCCCTTTACCCATATTAAATCGCTATTTTTCTCAAGGCAGTACAGAGAAAGAAATATTCCCATTAAATCGCATGGTAAAAAAAAAAATGAAATCGGTCGATAAATTACTGTGACAACGAACCTACTCTTTTGGGGAGACGCCAGGAAGTAATCGGCTCCTTAGACGCCCAATGTGGATGGATGGCATTATATGTAACTTTTGTGTTCTATATCCTTGTCTTAGGTTATTTTAGAGGATCTACCAGAAGATTTCGCCCAGGGTCTTCAACAATACAATGAGAAGGTTACCAGTGTCTTCAGTCAGTATCTTACCGCAGTGGCCGCTGAAGTTGAAAACGAGCGAGGCGAAGAAAACAAACTTCCATTGTCTGGAATTGGTAAGCATTACAAAACATTTCTTCGTACTAAGGAAAATGCAAAATTTTGTCAGATATTCACTTATGGAGATCTCACATGACGTAGAACCATCGCATACCCAGCGCCACTTGCGGAATATTTAGCCTCCTGTTTTACCTGATTTCGAATCGTCGTCGAATACTTTAATTTCCTTTTCTCGACGAACCAACTTCAAGGTTAGGCTGTCTCAAATGTCTATGTTACTAGGCGGCCAAAGAAATCTCAAAAAGTCACTCAAATCAGTATTTTACCTCATCGGTCGAAAGTCATTTTGAATGTATGGGTGAATGTTTCAGTGCTTCATCAGGCAAATTCACAAAGACTAAGTAACTTTTCAGTTTCATAATGTGCTCTTCATCCCACCGTAATAATTGCGGCCTCATTAACCCTCAATAACTCTTTAGAAGTTCATTCGATTGTTGCTCGTGTTAGTAGGTCCATCATCCTTTTTAAGGCCTGTACTCACTTTCACATTGAAACTTCTAGATGCTAGTAGTTACAGAAATCTAGCAGGCTGCTCACGCCGCCGACCAAATAAAGGAAAAATGACAGATGTTGTTGTTTTAAAGTTTAAAGTAACAGGTTTCTTAACGGGCATTGCGGGATAAATAGATAAATTTTATCGTCTAAATTCTGTTGACGGAATAATTTTGTCACCGATCGATTTAAGGAAAGCTGCTCTCAGCTGATAAAACGTAACTTTGAAAGAACTAACCACTAAATTAAACACGCTTGCTCGTTCTACCCGTAGTGTTCTCAAGGAGTGGAACACAAGGAAGGGAGTAGGCTGCATACGCCTTCTTTGCTAGACTTGACCACAACGACTTTTCAGCTACTACCAACTGTTTCTAATAAGTTTTAGCGTACTGGAAAGGAAAAGCCTTGTTATGTAAGGTGTTCCAAAGGGGCAATATTCCAATTGTGTTCCACTGACATGTCGTTATATACCCTTTTCTGTTGCAGAATTTCCCACCCAGTCAAGCATAAAGGGTGTCGCAGAACAGAGTTCTGGTACCATTCAGAACCTTGCTCGTCTGTCTGTACCATACTCTGCTTGTTCTTCATTCGCCGCCTTATCAGGAAATTCAGATTTAGAGATGAGCTCTGACGGTCAGGAAGTTACAGCAGCTGCGGCTGCAATCGGTCAGGAAAGAAACGAAAACAGTGATGGTAGATTTTATTTCATGTTTCTTGTTCACTCTGTTACGGATTTTTATCAGTAATATAGGTAAATTCCAGTTTATTGTAGTGCCTCTATTTTTTGCTTTTTTTTAATCGTTGGATGTACTGCAATTCCTAGTTTCACACACACAACATCGCTTTTTTGCAGCAGTGTTGCAAAAGAAGTTGTATGTTTTTTGTTGCCCGTTTTTCCGTACCTTAACTGAATTTTGTATTGTCTCGAAAGGTGAGAGCGGAGGGAGTTTGAGAAGGAAGAAAAAAAAGAAAGGAAAACAGAAGAAAATTCACGACACTGTAGTAGGTCGCCGACAGCCAATTGACGATTTGTTACAGGTGAAAACTAATTTTTGCTGTTGAACAGTTCGCTAGAATTCTTATGTTCATCCACTGGAAGTTAACAAAATGACGGCATACATTACACGCAGTAAACAAAACTGATTACAAGAAACAAAAAGAGGAGCAATCCATCGAGCACCGTCTTTAATTTTGTAGCATGAAAGCAAGGCTTCACATACGACTTGATGCAAGGAAACTATACGGTCTCACACTGACAGAACTACACTCTGACCAATGAACTTTATGGACGGTAATGCTGTTGTAACATTTCTCTCAGATTATTCGTCAGGGTGTTTACACAGACATGAATGTGGTGCCCATTCTTCCGCCGAAGAAGTATGATTCGTCAGGACGGGTTTGTCGTCTGAATTCTTTTGCTTTAGATTTTTACAAGCATGGGTCCAGTGAAGCCATTGTGAAAGAAAATGGGTGAGTATTTAGACTCGGTTATCAGCCACTGTTCAAGAGAATGAGACCGAACTCATACCGAACTTTCTTAGACTTCTTCGGGCTTAGTCATGCGCTCCTTCTCCAGGACACGTGACGAAGCTCTAAGAACATCCAGGCTGAAGGCGAGGGAGACGGTTGAAATCGAACCAAGTGACGATCGACAGTATTTTGAAAATTTTGTTTTGGCCCCTGATTTCTAGCCTGGTACTTAAAGAACACTTTTCACAGTCCCTCGATTTTCTTTAACTCGAACAGTGGAAAGAGGCCAATGAACGTACATTCAACAAATGAAACAAGGAGAAAATAGAGGATTTTAAACAGCACCTCAATTCGGTAGCCTTAAAAAAACAGCCGACCTTTTGCGACGCTGCCACTGGTTTCCCCGCGTTGTCATGACTTCATTTCGCGAAGAAATTGGTGTTGGCGTCGGGAAAAGTCGCCTGTTTTCTCAGGCTACCGAATGAACATCCTGTTGTGGTATTTTAATATCCACACGGTCGTGAGGGAATCCCCGTAATAATGTGACATTCGAGCCACAGGTGGCTTAAGTGTAACATTAGACATTCACTTAACCAATTAAAAAGTGCAAAGAATGATACTGTTTTTCTGACCTAATAGTATGACTTTTAGGCTTAATGATGTTGTCGTTCAAGGATTATCGGAAGGAAAAATGTCAAAGTCAGGAAAGTCCTAAGAATGAACATTTCACCCTGCAACTGAGATGCAAGGTAGTCATCTTAAACAGGTTTCACTTATACTGTAACATGTTTAATTATTTGCTATTACGTTGTAGAGTCAAAGCAGGCGAGGTCTTCGTTGTACTAAAGGACTTCTGTCTTACAATTAAATCAATCAGGTGCGTTTCCTTGATTTAGATTGCCCCCTTGCTTAATTTTGTATTTTGGAAGGGAAGCACGGGAGACAATGCGTGCAGAGCACATCATCACAGAGTCATCAATTAGAAGTAGTGCATTAGTTTCAAACAAGTGATGATGTCCAGAGTGGTGAACTCAGGGACTGAATAGTGATGAATTTGATGACTACAATCAGAAATGCAATTGAGACAATTTTGCTTAAATTGATGATGGGTAGTACCGAGCTTGCCTCACGATAACAAAGGTGACCTCTCCCTCACCCCCCAAGTTTGAGTCGACGCTTTCTTCTCACCTTATCTATGAATCGCCTCGCCCCAGGGAATCTAAGACGTTCTTGTATTCTGGATTCCACGCCGCAGATTCCAGGTACTGTATTCCAGTCTTTGATAGTGGAACTTGGATTCTGGATTCCAATCGTTACTGGGATTCCGGACTCCTTGAACTGTTTTCCGGATTCCACAAACAAAATTTCCCTGGACTCCAGATTCCAGAAATCCCTTACATTGGGCGAAACTTCTACTCTCTGCGCCATTCTTGGCCGAAACATTTTGACTGAACGTGGTTCACTGTGGTCAAGTAAGGACACATCGGAGGACATGCCTATGAAACAAGTAACCCGAAACGAAAATCCAGTATCTTCTTTCCTGTTGACCTATATGCATTGCATGGGTGCTTTGGCGGTTTAATAGCGAGTTACAGCTAGACAGGTCCGCCAAAAAGGATAGAAAGAAAGAAAAATGTGAGACTCTCTTGGGGGGGAGTGGATGTGGTACGTATTTCCCGCATAGTCTGAATTTCAAAACCCGTAGTTACGCGTACAATGTATTGAAGAAGAAGAAGAAGCCATGTATTCTTTGTCGCTGTCGCAGTTTTAACTCATCTTTGTGTCGTTTGTCGCCATTTCAGCTGTCCTTTGTCGCTGTTTCATGGCCATGCCACTTGTCGGCCTCAGTGTTCTGTGCTTGCGCTTTTTTTACATATCATCGTTTGAGATGGATTAAACTTACAAAACTTTTTTAATTTCAAAAATCAGTTTTCAAATAAATGTTCTGTTTTTCAGTTGTTCACTTCAGGAGTGGGGACCTCGAAACGACGATGTGGTGCTTGCCTTTCAACAGCTAGCTCAAAAGTTTGGAGAGAAGTTCAAAAAAGAGTTTGGTAAAGAGATTTGAACAGATTATTAAACTATGAAAAATTAAGGAAATCAAACGAATCCAAAATCATAATTCACAATACGAACTGTTTTCAGAACGTTCGTAAAACAGGAGAAGCCTTTAATACATAAATACTGAAAGAGAGGTGCAATTTCAAAGCGAAAGGCGAAAAATATTTTGTGATAAATTCCAAGCGGAACTTCAATTATACTTCTTCGCAGCCGTTCTTTGTGTTCGGTGCAAATAGAGGCTGCAAGGGACACAAGCTCATCGGGTTTCACAATTAACGTATTACCCAAAGAAAGTAAAAGATAATATAACGAAAAATTTCTTTACGTTGCCGGATAATTTTGGAACATAGATCTTTCAGTGAAATACGTTTATGACAACGGCATCGTAATTTATTTATTCTATAATTTGCACCTTTTCCTCAAAGAGGACGTGTTACGAGTAATAAATCAATGGCGTTTTGATCGAAAGAATCAGTAAGAATTTATTTAAAAGAAACCGTGTCGAAAAGCGAAAAAAGAAAAAAAAAACTTCACTGACCGGCATTTTGTTGTCAAGACGACAACAGAGCCAGCTTTTCTTATTGATCAGTGCGCAGAAGTAGATTCATGGTAGCACACATTTTTTCGTTCTTCGTCCTTTTCAGCGTAAGACAAATGGCATTTGAAGAGGTACTATCAATTTGCTTTTTTGTGAGACGCAAATTGTTATAAAGTTGCTTTTAACATAGGCTGCGTTTACAGGGCACCTGACGAATTTTCGTTCACTCGGAACTGTCGACCCATGTACATGTTGAATTTAAAATTTTTTCAGTGGTTTTACTATCTTCTTAACGAAATCCACAATGACGTCTCCTATCAGAGTGACCCCCCCCCCATCCATGCAATCACGTCTTTCAGTGCGACGACTTTACCTTGCAAAATTGAGACGGTCGTGGTGTTCACACCACACTGGTCAAATTTTCGCCCGTACCGGCTAAATACTTATCCTCGACTTTGGCGTCTCAATGTTTGGATGGCTAGGCTTCTGAATTTTCATACGGTTAGCGTAGTTTGGTGTGAACTGAACAACTAAAAGGGTCGACTTTTCAACCGGTCGAAAATTCGTCGGGTACCATGTGAACAAAGCCATAGGGCAGTTAAGCAGTGGGCTCGAGAGCTTTTTAAGGTTGTTCGGAATAAATGCATGAATAAGTAAATAAAATAATTTACCGTTATGATTAATGCTGCACGCAAATTGTCAACAGTAGACAGCTAACAAAAAATAAACTGAAGACGCATGGTTTAAGGACTTTCTTTTTTTTATTCAGTAAAGAAAACATTTTATTTTATTTTACAAGTGTTCTTAAAAGGATTCAGAATAAGGCAAAATAGGTTACCAAGTTACCTACTGGAAGCATCCGAAGGGAATATTGCTGCGTCGCTGGTGTCCGTAGAGCGTAGTACATAAGTATCACTTCGTTTTTAATAACTCTCATATACATCAACTTTTTTAATGTCTTTTTAAAATAGCGGCTGTCATCTCAGTTGGTTCGAAGAGTCCACTATAACCCGACCATCCCGATCCTTGACCCGCACACGTCCCGTAGAATATCGGGTCTCTGTTCAACCATCGGGATAGACTGTCTTTACTGTCCCGTCAGGGTACTCTCTTTTCTAAATATGGACAAAAAACACGTCACGCAGGGAGAACAACACTTTTGAACTCTAGGACATGCAATCTGAACAAACAACTTTACGCCTGACTTTTCTAGGAGTGAAGCAACATGGTAATACCTTTCACCCAACTTCCGAGGTAGATATAGCCTGTGTAAAGACCCCCCACCCCTCCCCTCAGGAAAAATCAGAGAATGTGGTCTGTGCACAGGCTAAGGTAGATATTCGAGTATTCCTTTTGTATTTTTTCGATCACAGCCCATTGGGAGGGTATTTAACCGATACGCAGAACGTTCTATTCTTGTGGGGCGCACCAACTGTTTCTACTTCCCGTGTTGCCACTTGACAGCCAATAACCATTTTTATAAAAGTTTTATTCAAGACACCATTGTACTCCACGAAGCGCTGAAGTGAATAAGCAAAGATGGGATTTCACAATGCCTGTGTTACACTTAACCTCGAACTAAAATATGCAAGGTTGTCTGTATTGTGTACATGAGCTGATCTGTAAGTTAGTGAGAGACATGGGAAAATAAAGGGCCGGCATTTGGCAAGGAGAGAGAAACTCACGGGGCGTAAACAAACTAACCACGCGACAGACAAGCCACGCGAGCGACTTCGTAACCGATAAAAGCCATGCAAGAGAGAAACCTCTTTTCGCAGGGTAGCTTAACCTGTTTTCGTTGGAAATCTCAGGCATCGAGGAAAGGAGACACCTTAGGTGCAGAAGATCGCTAGCTTTTTTTACACATTTGTTTCTTGTTTACTTTTCAAACTGAATTAAGACCTCGGGACGTCAGAATCAAGTTGTGACACCCCGGGTCCCGCAGTGAGACACGCCGCGGGATGAAACTAGGAAAGCCACTGTAAGAACTCGAACAACACAAGGCACAAAGTACAAAATGGTATGTCTCTACTTACTTTATAGCACTTGGTGTGAGTTTCCCGTTGTCCATTTGGGAATTCAATAGTTCTCTCTCCTTCCACGTTGACCTTTTGTATGGTACCGTCACTAAACACGTACTCTTCCTCTCCATTTGCGTACAGGTACTTAATGGTCTGATCGGGAAATATTATCTCCTTTGTTCCATCACGGTAGTGCTTCTCAACCTGTTTGCTGAATGACAGAGAAGCAAAGTGGATGGTAATTTTAGAAACCTGGTGTTCAACGAGAAGATATACTGAAAAAATGGTGAATGAGGATTTCAAGTGATTAAGTTTTCCATACAGACCTGGGAAATTGAAGCACTTCTAGTTCATCAGGGTATGCGGTATGGGTAGTCTGCGCTTCTGAATAATAGTAAATCTGATCAAGAAAATAGATGAAGAATTAGCTATTTGAAAACCTCTCATTTCTAACGCATAGGAAAGTTTATAAGGCGTTCCAGCCTAGTCCCCAGGCATTTTCGGCTCGGTCATTCCTGGACTCTACCATGAGCTGTGACGTCACCGACAGATACTCACTCGTTCTCTCCCAGACTTCGCGCGGACAATGGATCAAGAGAGAACGACTAGGGACTAGGCTGGTTGTGGACAAGAAATATGTCCCAGCAGACATCCTGGCCGTGTTAAAGCAGGAGCTAGTGGTTTTACCCGCCTGGGACCCTATCGGTTCCCTTGCTTGCGTAGTGTGCGGAAAAGACGATCACCTAGCTCATTTGTGATTCACGTATTTAGCAATTGGTGTAAAATGACTCAAAATTTGCACGATTACCCACTTGTATCAAACCAATCAAGCAACCGAAAAAACTTGGTGTTGCTAAAAAGCCCGCGTGATAGACGATAAAAACGGTAATGAGGGGATTTTTTCTAAGAGAGCGAATCGCTCAACACTCGAAGGTAACTCAAGTAGGCTGAGCCCAGTTTCTCTAGAATTGCTTTATCCCTTTGCTGTGCATGTCAACATCTTTGTCATGAGGAGATATGCAATCCATGAGCTTTTAAAGAAAAAAGAACGCAGGGAAGCTGAGAAAAATGTTCAGAAGTTTTCCGTAGAAATTTATTCTGTTTCCGTTCACGTGATCTCAACGAGCGCACAAGTATTGAGTATGCGTACTTAAGAAGCAATGTAAGAGCGCTTATTTTGTTGACTCTCATAGGCAATGCAAGCAAGCGATAATATCTTAAAATCTACCCACTAAATTTGACGAAAATTGGCAGAAATCCAGTTTATATTGTACTGACCTGTCAATGAAAGCTTCAAAATGAATCTTGAACAAAGGAGTTTTTTTAACACAAACAAGTTTCTTGAAAGCTGTTTTATTAGAAAATTCAAAAATTGTTTGTGACCATTTAGTTAAGTTGTTTTTAAAAACTTAAGGTTACTACCTGTAAGCTGTGTGCAAACTTATAAGAAAATTTGATGACTGGATTTTTCGTGAGCGTAATAAATTCAAAATTTTAGGATTGTTTACAATCATCCATGTTGCCATGGCAACGACTCAATTCTCGCCTTAAACCTGATAAATAATATTTCTTATAAATATATTTTATGCCTGCCAAATTTCGCTTTATACCTGCAACGAGTCCTAAAAAACACCCAAATGAATGGTAACGATCCGCAACCTTTGAAACTAAGTTCAGCTTGCCTGAGAGCACAGTACGCTCTAAATTTGGGAGAGTCGCGAGAAGTCACGCGAGAGCAGCATAAACGGAGAGCTTGCTAGCAAGTTAAAGTTCTGGCCCCGTTTGTTCAAACGTTGGATGGCGCTATCCACCGGATAAATCTCCATCCAGCGAATGGCGTAATTGATTTCCGTAATACTTTTCCGCTGGATAGTGATTTATCCGGTGGATAGCGCTATCCAGCTTTTGAACAACCTGGGCCAGCCTCCCAAAGAGATGAAAATTGTGGGTGCTTTTCCGCCAACGTTCGCGCGCTTCTCTTCCCCATTGGCGCCTGTCACGCAAACACTTTGTAATACGCAAGTTGTTTTAGTCACTGAATTGTAGATTCAATTATAGTTATTAAAGTGGAATGGTCCGGTTACAAAGCCCGTTAGACTCCATTGTTATGTGTTTGGGTGGATTTAAAGGTGCATAACGTCCAATAGCATTCCTATCATTAGTATTTTACTGACCCTTAAAAACGTCACATTAATTTTTCCTGTCCCAATTTGTGAACAAAAATCAAAATGTGCCGGGACTGAGCTCCTAAAATGTTGTTATTATTTAATATCTCTGATGTTTGCCGCCGTTCATAACTAGTCTCCTCTACTAACTACTCATTCTCGCTTGCTATGATTCAAGCTGGTCCATAGTAGCGGAGCTCTCGCGCGCGCAGCGGAGCACCATGGGTAAAAAAATGTAGTAAACTTCCCATCCGAGAAAATTTGGTAATCACGTGACCGTACACCGACCGCCCGACCGTCCGTCCGCACCACAGGTATACCATTGTCAAATAATTCAATCAACAGGTATGGCAACCCAAATGCAACGGAAAGAAATCGCATGGCCGCCCGGACTTTTAGAAAGAAACAACAACAACAAAGTCGTGTCTTTTTCGACGTTATTTTTGATGTTTACACTCACGTGGATAACAGAGAAAGAGCTCGAGCGAGTGATTGAAAACAAAAGAGTCGAACTTTGTAGGAAGAAAAACATGAAAATGCTAGCGACCGGCAAAGTGAAAATGTGCGGCAGTGAAAAATAAAAGCGAACATGAACACAGGAGAAAAAATATTGGGTAAGCACATTCGACAATTCCTCCATAAAAATAATGTGTGACTAGGACGTTTGAAGTTTTTCTCCTACAAAACAGCGTTGTAGTTACGCAAAACAACGGCAGAGAAAGACAAAAAGCGTGCTACACGTGCAAATTTGTTTTTTTGCTAATTAGAAAAAAAAGTGTGCTGCACGTGCAATTTGTTTTTTGGGTAATTAGATCAGTTGATCTTGATGCCATTTTCATTGCCCTCCCCGTTTAGCATTACACGATTTAATTTTTTTTGTTTACAAGTGTTATTAACCATAGCTTCGCTTTTGGCCCTGGCTAAATCTATATATTATTATAAAGAGCAAACAAGAGGCAACAACTTGCGCACCACTGCAGTTCTCTGGTTAATGGTATTTTTGACGTCAGGTATATATTGATAGTTTATTTTTGGTCCGGGCCTGGGTTTACTGTTAACTGTTTAAACAAATCGAATCAACAAAAAAAGATACGGAGGTTCAGGACGTTCCGATCGAGCCTGCGTTACCTTACCAATTAAGCGCACGTGTCCTGAACGAGATTTGGGTGATCGACAAGTACCCTGGGCACGTGGTTTGTCACTTGATAGTCTGGTTTTGATTCTCGGAAATGAGATGTAAAAACGTGCTCGAATTTCTCGGAAGTAGCAATGTGCAATATAAACTCCTTTCTTTTCTTCAGGTGATCATTGCTCGCACCTAGCTTACCCTCCACAGAGGTATTTCGTGGTTTGGCTAATTTTACCGTTGATCATGAACACAGGATTTTAGTCGCCCGGAACGAAGTAGAAGTGAGCCTCGGATCCAAATCAATGTCATTTATAATTTTATCCTGAGGTAAGCGAGTCAACGGAAGTGTCTGGGAGGAGAATAATGTGCTTTTATACCGGAACGATCGACATTAGTACAAGGTTTAGAAGGTAAAGAAAAAACTGTTGACTCGGACGGTCAAGGCTAGAAAACTTGAAATTCGACTCTTTTCAGTTTTAAATGTCAGTAGAAAGTGAACGACACTGTTCGCGATAAATGAGCTTTTAGTAAAGATGTTGTACAAAGGAAGAAACGAAGCTGATATTTGCATTCAGACGCGTCTCACTGATGCAACAATGCTTTTGATATAACAAGTATAAGACAAGGAACGTTTCGATCACAATATTTTATTGATGGAAATTCTGGTTTTATTTTTCATTTTAACCAGGATTCTTTATTCATGACTTTGATATTACTTAATATTGTCGGAGACAAATTTATTCTTGTTATTGTCGAAATCAAGGATGTCGACTGATTACGTAAATTCTGCAGTTACGTGAATTAACTGACCGTAAAGTGTTTACGATCTAGTAGAATTGTTTGAATAGAAAATTTAAAATTTGTTTTCGAGTGCATGAAAGTTGAAATCTAAACACCTGTTGATTTAAATTCGTGATAATCTTGAACGAATTGCACCTAAACAATTAGTTTCTATTGGAAAATGAAATCAGTGATGCGACTGAGTCAAAGCGCATGTGGTTGAAGAGTGGTTGAGGAGTATGGCAACAGATGGCATGGAGAACAAAAATTTTGGTCATTGGCAAAACGCGTGATGGTCAAGTACCCTTGACGCATTCGTAACGCACTGGTGGTTTTAGAACAATCATTACTTTAAGCAACCTTGTGCAGGCTTATCAGGGCTCATCCAGGGGTGTTGCTAGAATTTTTCCAGGGGTACGCAGACTGAGTCCATTCCGTCTACCAATTCGTTTTCATTCGCTGAGTGAAAATCGGCTAAAAAACATTGCCGAAATTTTGAGCGCAAAACAAAAATCTGAAAGGAGTAAAAGGGGTGTTAAACAGGTAAATGCGCCGTTTTTCAGTTATCCCTTATTTATTTTTTCCTTTGCTTTGTTTTTCTATTTTTTGTTTGTTGGTTTTTTTTATGTATCTTCGAGATTTTCTCAGCTACGCTCTTGCGCATTGGAGTAAAAGTAGCTAAACACCCAGGCATGCTTCCCAACTCTTCCCCTGGTCTTCGCCTTCGCAAAAACGTGGCTTTCTACACGAAACAAGAATTTTCCACAACCCATTATATCGACGACTGAGTGCTCTTTACCGTATTTACTGTTATCTCCAACGATGGTGTGCCTTTCTTCCTGAATCGATTATCAGGGGCCTCGATTTGAGGGCGCGAAATCGAGGCAAATCGCTTACTAAACATATTTACTTACTGTTAGCATACTGTGAAAATCTCAAAAGCCGAGAGTAGCTTCGAGCAACCCAGACAGAAATAGTAAGGTGGCCTCGCGGTGATAATATTATTGTTTTCATTACCAATATTATTGATAAGCTTGACCCCTTCCTAATTTTCTTGACTTTCTTCTTATACCGACAGTGTGTGGCAGGCCACCCTGCCAGAAGTGGCTATCATGGCCGCTTTTATCTTTCTAATCTTTGTCTTGGGTTGCTGGGCATAACTGAATAAGGAAAAGACTGGAACTGTCGCAGGAGTAGTGGCAGGCCTAATAGTTGTTCACCTTACCCAGGGTTAGCCAACGACTGTTTTCTGTAAAATATCTGTTCGGAGAAGCAGATGTTGCCTACAATTTTCTTCTGCTTGAGGCGGCTGAAAATTTCTAGATGACTGTTCCATTCATGTACAATTTTCGACGCTTATCTGACAAATTCCCTACGGTTTTCTAAAGTTTAATTTTTCACATTTCACTCTCCATGTTAGGCTATTCTTCGAAAAAAGGAAACCTAAAATTTTCGGATTCAAAAATGTGATGGAGAGAGGAATCAGTAAAATTATCACTTTCGTAATACGTTAAATTGCATCTAAAATTTTCGGGAAATTAATACTGAAGCCCTTGTTATTTCTAAAAGACTCAATGAGCTCCCCTAGGATGAGAATGCACTTCTAGAGATCTAAAAGTACTCTGGATAGCCTAAAATGTGTTTTCAATGTCTCCAGGAGGAAACCGCCGTTGGGTGCCCCTGTTTTTAGCCTGCTGTGCTGGCTCTTTGTTATATTACGCTTACGAAACACCAGTCAGCTGAAACTATAAACTTACGCGGACACTGTTGAAGATAACAGAGAGATCAGAATAGCACCAAATAATGGCGGTAAAAAGACCACGATAGGTTTTGGAAAGCTTTACAATTAATTTGAAGAGAAACTAGCAAGGAATGCAGCAAGTGCTAGGCAGTTCATTTTCAAGCCTGCGCGCAGACGAAACTAAACTCGGGGTTAAACGGAGTTAACCAGAGTTAAGTTTCGTCTGCGGGCAGGCCATTCATTTTCCTGTCATTCCACACGGTCAGGTTACATCTTGATCCCCCTCTTATCCTCTCTTGACAGAACCCATTCAGGTGTTATGAATGGCCCGTATTCTCCAGTCACATTGTCTCATATTAATGCTGAAAAAAGGGCTCTCGATGGCAAATCCGATTGTTCAATTTCGTCTGGTCCGTCTGTAATTATACGAGTTATGAAAAGAAAATGGGATGACCGTGCAGCAGAATTCAGACTTGTTTATTGATGCACGAATCATAGCTAAAACAAAATTTGAGACAATAATTTGTGATAATTTCAATCTTTGTTTTTTTGAAAACACGAGGTCTCCCGCGAGTGTTTTTGCTAGACGTAAAAACATCCATTCAAGAGTAATTGCGTCCATTCGTCATTTGCAAATTTCCTATAATACACCTTGTTTGCCCCTCAAATTTCCCTAATGAAAAGCATTGTCTTAAATATCTCTTGGGACGACTGAAATGCCAGGGAGATATTTAAGACATGAATATGGGGAGTAAACAAGGTGTATTGTGGGAGATGTAGAAATAAGGATTTATAGCATGCGCATTGGCTCATCTTGTCCAATTACTTGAGCTTCGATAAAACGGGCAACAAAAACGTGCAACTTGTTTTTCAACATTGCTGCAAAACGAGTTGAATAGCGATTTTGCGCGTTTTACCACCCTCGTTCAAGAGCCTGCCGCCCTTCAACAAGTCAGGTTGTTGAAAGTTGCGAAAAGTTGTTGTAGAAAGTAAGGAGCAGTTCCTCTTTTTGAGACAAAGTCTTTACATCTTGCCCGTTTTAAGGTACGGTAAAACGGGCAACAAAAACGTGCATTGTGTTTTTCAACATTGCTTCAAAACGATTTAAATGGCAATGTTGCTCGTTTAATTACTCGCTACGTTTAAACCATCCTTGCAACAAATCAAGTTGCTGCAGGTTGCCAAAATTTGTTGCAGAAAGTAGAGAGCAGTTCTACTTTTTGCAACAAAATCTGTACGTATGGCGCGTTTTACTGGCCCAAGGAAAACTTGTTTGCAGCAAGTGACGTAACTCCCGCGTATGGCGTGATTACCGCCTAATTTCATCCAATCAGAAGTCAGTATTCATGCCACTTGCAACAACCTTATTTGCTGCAAGACAAGTTTCATTAGTGGGTGGTAAAACACGCAACATCGCTATTCAATTCGCCTATTTGCAGCAATGTTGCCCAAAAAAATTGCACGTTTTTGTTGCTCGTTTAACCGTAGCTTTAGGCACGACGCAAAATTCAGTCTAAAGAATTATCTTCCTGAGCTTTTACTTTCATGACTTATTAGAGCGGCTTAAGTTGATATTTATTCACTTCGAAAGGGTTCTTCGTTTTGTGATAGAGTTCGCTTGAATTTCTGTTTTTGCTTGTTGCGCCATTAACATACGGCTAAGAGAGCTGTCAAGCATATAGGTTAAAAATGACTTAGTTTGGGTCATTTTTCTGTCTGAATGGTCATTTTATTAGAGAAAAGTATTAAATCAAATGTTTTGAGTTCCTCCAGAAATGAATGCACGCTCTCCTAGCAAAACTCAGTGACGGTTGTTTCTGTTGGTTTCCGTCCACCATGTCGGTACCCATCCGGATGGGCACCAACATGGGGTCTCCATATAAAACTCTATAAATTTGCGTAAATCTTTTCTCCGGATATACTGCATATGAAAAACTGTACTGAGCAAAATCTTGGCGTGGGTCTTTGCATATTACCTCCTTTTATCCCCTAGATTCTGGACATTTATCGTTTGAACGGTTTTGATTTTTATTTTTGATGGCGTGACAGTGAGAACCAGCAAATCAGTTAAATCTATCTAAGCAAGTTATAGTGGTGATTAATTCAGATATTTACCACCCTTTGATTCAGAATGGCTGAAGGAGGAGAGGATTACAGTTCTGATAACGATTTAGATTCTGGACGTTTATCTCTTAAACGGTTTTGATTTTTATTTTTGATGTCGTTACACTGAGAAC